AAAAGAAAACTGCTCCAAAAAACTTAACCTTAACCCGGGACGCCGACGCCGACACCGACACCGACGCCGACGCCGAGGGTATCACATAAGCTCCCCCCAACTTCGTTGAGGTGAGCTAAAAACTATTTTGGCATATAGTTTACAGTCAAAGTCACAAGGTCATTGATCTTAATGTCATTTGAAAGAATTTATTAGTGGAGTATACGTGTACAAAAAATGAAGTTTGTATCTTTTATGGAAAGATCGAATTGAAGAGAGCTATTTTTAGCATATAGGCCAAGGTCACAAGGTCATTGAACTTGGTGCCTCTTGAAAGAACTTTATAAGTGAAGTACGCTTACCAAATATGAAGTCTCTGTCTGTTGAGATTAAAAAATTTTAAACGGCAAAGGTAAAAGTTGACAACATACAGATAAACAGACAAGACAAAAACAATATAAGCCTCGAACCCATCGATCTGGGCGCAAAATAAATTTTCGTTGGCATCAATTTTCGTGGATTTTATAAAACAGACGTTATCGAGGACACATAATTTCGTGGATAAAAGCATTGCCTGTACAAATGCATGATAAATTTCTTTTAAAAGACCGCGGAACATTAACTGGCAAAATTGGAAATATACAGCTTACGTCATATCTATCTGTTACAATCAAAACATTCAGTGATAGACAGCGTAATGGGCGGGTACAATTCGACGCGAACGTTTGGAAAACATCGGATTGAAATTGCAGATCGAAATTCATTTTCAATCCACCTCAGCTACGCTACAAGTCGACGCGGACGTTTGGAAAACATCGGAATGAAATTGCAGATTGAAATTCATTTTCAATCCACCTCAACTACACTAGAAGCCACAGTGTCATTGATTTACCCAGAAGACAAATAATTTCAAATTTGGTACAGTTTGAATTTTTTGTCCAGTGTTTTGAAAAAAAAATATTGAGGGACAAATATTTAATTCCTGCTTGGTAAATATACGTATGGTTTAGGGGAGGGGGCTTAACAATTATAAGTAAAGTACGTTGTCAAACATTTTTCGGTGAGAATAAGTATAAAACTCATGCTCTCTTATAATCCAATAAATAAAATCTGTTGTCATGTAAACATTACATGTAAGCCATGACCTGACTCGACAATTTTCACCCCCCCCCCCCCCCCAAGCTTAGAATCAATTATCTCCTGAAAAATAATATTTGTCTTCTCTCATCTTTCGCGTCCCTAAAATTATAAGCTAAAACTCATATTAATGTGACTTTGATCAATATGTTGTATTCGGGAGTTGAAATTAGTTGATTTTTTGGATCATGTATATATTCACATCTTATTTTTGAAAACAGTTCAGGTGGATTGAAAATGAATTTCGATCTGCAATTTCAATCTGATGTTTTCCAACTGTCCGCGTCGTATTGTACCCGCCCATTACGCTGTCTATCACTGAATGTATTGATTGTAACAGATAGATATGACGTAAGCTGTATATTTCCAATTTTGCCAGTTAATGTTCCGCGGTCTTAATTCAATGAACATTAAAATTCGTTGAACCCCAAAAACGAAATACTCGAAAATTGGTGCTCAACGAATATTGATGAAACCCCGACGTCAACTACTCTCAGGAGCTTTCGTTCAATGAACGATAACAATTGCGTGAAAATGCACTAGTAGGTTTCCAAACTGGTGGAATAAAATGAAAAGCGAGCAGATAATGACCGTGAAATATGAAGTTTTAATATTATCATGGCCGTGTTATGAATATTACCGGGGCATATAGTGTTTGTCATGTCCGTCTCCTGTTCTTCCGTCACACTTTGAGTTTAGCTCAGTTCATTGAAAGAGACTACATATTTTTGCAACTGGATCAACATTTTTGACCTTGACCTTTCCTTTGACCATGACCTCACTTTTCTTAAATTAGTATTTAGCTCAATTTTAAACATACCGTTCTAGATGGTGTTATCAAACTCCACACGTTGATGCATACTGATGAGAATGTTCAACTTCATCACCATTTTTGAGCTTGACCTTTCTTTTGACCTTGACCTTAAAATGTGCTTTGCTCAGTTTTAAATATACAATTCAAGATATCGTTATCAAACTTCGTGTGCTGATACATACTGAAGAGAGCTATTCAACTGCATCAACATTTTTATTTTAACCTCAGCCTTTTCCTTTGATCTTGACCATATTTTTCTTAAATTAGTTTTTAGCTCATTTTTAAAGAAACCATCTGAGATATTTTTTTTTATCAAACTTCCTTAGCTGAAGAGAGCTATTCAACTGCATCGACATTTTAACTTTTCCTTTGACCTCAGTTTTACGAAATTAGTGTCAAACCTCCGACGCCGATACAAACTGATTTAAACTATTTAACTGCATCGATCAACATTTTTACCTTGACTTTCATTTGACATTGACCTCACTTTTGTGTTTAAAATAAACCATTCATAATATTTTACATTATTAAGTTCTTATGCTGATACATACTGATGAGAGTTTTTCAACTGCATCAACATTTTTTGACCTTGGCATTTCGTTGACTTCACTTTAAAGAAATAAGGTGCCAAACTTCATATACGGATTCATATATACTGATACATACTGATGTTAGCACTTCATCTGTAATTCTGTATCACTATTTAAGATATTCTGATCAAATTTCATACACTAATATTTACATTTCCAATGTCTTTGTCTGAGATAAAATTACCAAATGTATATGTAATTGATTTCCTCATGAATGGTTTGGCGCGGTTCCAAAAAAACCACGTGCAGGGCGGGACAACACCTAGAGAGAAGCAGGCTTAGAGCCCGTGGATTGGAAGAATCAAAGCATGTAAATATAAGGAATAACTGTCAGATTTTTCAAATTCATGAATCGAAGATGATCAATGGATTGGCTTGTATACATGATAATTTTATGCATAAACGCCTTCGGCGTTTATGCAAATTATCACACAAGCCAATCCATTGATCACTTCATGAATTCGAAAAATAAGACAGTTATTCCTTAAATATAAATTTCCTTTTGCGTTTCTAGTTTACCATAAGGAAGGATATGGAAATAACGAACAGTAATCAATCTCAACGTCCATTAAACAAATATACAAAATAAGAGCAGAGCAAACACGGACCCCGAAACATCAGAGGTGGGATCAGGTGCCATGGAGGAGTAAGCATCCCCTGCTGACCGGTCACACCCGCCGTGTGCTCGTTGTCATAATCAGGATATAACGGAAAAAAATCCGCGGTCAAATCAGTGTATAAATAACGGACTAACAATTGGTATGAAAAACGCCAGTCAGCATTTCATTCAATGATATATTGTATTTGCTGACAAGGTCATTGTATCGACCATAGAATTTACGAAATGATGACTTCAAACGAGACAGCTGATATTCTTGTTTCATCAACTTGCTTGTCAATAATTTACCTCGTTTAAGAAATTGTTCATACGTAGAGCATGCTCTTGCATATCGAATCATTCATATCCTTTGGAAATTTAAATTTATATTTAGAACGGGGCGTGTTACTCTTCATTTGAACAATCTTAAATCCCGTTCATCAAATTGCAAGAATGCATTGCTGCAAATGATAACTATTCACTGTCTTCCTATTAGCCCAGTTCTTGAGCAGACATCAGAAATGTAAAATGTTTAAACGAGGAAACATGTCAGACTGCAGACAATGGACATTCTGCAACAGAAAATGTACCTTGAGTCTTTTATCAAGTGAGATAAACACAAGTAGATAACAAGAGGCCCAGGAGCCACGTCGCTCACCTGAGCAAATCAGATCAGAGCTGATGTGTTTACTGAAGGGGGGGGGGGTTGAATTTTTATACTACTTGAGAATGCCATCATATTAATACAGCATATGACTCTGAAGATTTCTTTAAAAATTTGTTTTTCCTAAATATTACTTTGTAATAATTAAAATTTATTTCCAAATTGTCTCCATCCCTACCCCGATGGCCCATGATTTGGAACCAATTTAAATCCTCAATACATGAGGATATGCTTACATGCCAATATGACTAAAACATAGCTTTTCTGTTCTTGGGATTTCCCCTATATTTTACTATGTAAATATTTGATCCACCATTGTGGCCCCATCCTACTCTTGGGGGTTATGATCTGAACAAATTTAATTCTACACTTCCTGAAAATGCTTCCATATAAATACTAGTCTATACTCATGGCTTTGCTATTGTTAAATTAAGAACTTCAAGATTTTTAATGTTTTTTTAATTTAAAATTTGAATTCCCTATTGTGTGGCCCCACCCTATCCCTGGAGGTTATGATTTGAACAAACCTGAATCAACACTACCAGAGGATTATTCCATATATATATATATAACTAATCATGGCTTTGAAATACTTGTGAGGATTTCAAAAGTCGTTTCCTATATATTCCCATGTAAAACTTTGATGGCCATTGTGGCCCAACCCTAACCCCAAAGGTCATGATTTGAACAAACTTGACTACCTGAGGATGCTTCAACATGAGTTTCATCTTTCCTGGCCAAGTACTTCTTCATCAGATTTCAAAATATTTTTACTATATATTTCTATGTAAAACTTTGATCAGCCATTGTGGACCCATCCTACCCCCAGGGGTCATGATTTTAACAAACTTGAATCTAAACTTCCTGAGGAGGCTTCCAAATGAGTTTCATCTTTCCTGGCCCGGTGGTTCTTGAGAAGATTTTTTTTTAAATGCCATTTATTTTTTCATTATTTCATAATTATCTCCCGTTGGAAGAGGGTGTGGTTCATTTGAACAAACTTGAATCCCTTTCACCTAAGAATTCTTTGTGGCAAGTTTAGTTGAAATTGGCCCAGTGGTTCTCGAGAAGATGAAAATGTGAAAAGTTGACAAATTTTGATAAAAAATGCTCATTTGAGCCTTCGGCTCAGTTGAGCTTAAAACTAAGCAAAACAAAAGAGATGGTTAAACACTTTTAAAGATACTTTTATACATGTATTTATTAAATACTATTAGATAATAAATGCATTTAAAAAATTATAGACTGTTCAATGTTCGTGAAAAAAGTTATATACTGTTAAATTCAGCTGTTCAGGATAAAGTAATAAAATGTTACATGTAAGACTGTTCAATTTTCAAGAAAAAGTTGTAAATTGCTTAGACAGTTCAATATTCATGAAAAAGTTGTAAACTGTCTGCATGTTCATGAACATTTACAAGTTATTAACTGTTAAGACTGTTCAATATTCATGAAAGATTTTTAAACTGATTCTGTGCATTTTTAACATATGTGCTTTTTCATAGATTGTTTATGCATAACCTTGTTGCATTTGTCACATTTTACTTGTGTAAGTCCCCTATGGATCTCAATATGAGCCCTAAGATTTGATTTACTCGAGAAAGATTTGTTACAAATGTCACATTTAGGTCGAGCATCAGGGTTAGTTTTATAGTGGTGCATTAATTTGTGCCCTCTATAAACCGATCTCTCATAAAAGCCTTTGCCGCAAATTTCACAAATAAATTTATGGGGCATGTCTGCAATGCTTGACCTAGCTTTCAAGCTCAAATTGCCACGTACTTTGTGCATCATCAGATGATGTCGTAAAGAATGCTTAAATGTAAAAAGTTTCCCACAAATTTCGCATTGACTTCTGCTCGAGGAATCATGAGTTTGCATGTGAAAATTTTTGGACATACGCCGAGTAAACCTCTTCCCACAAATCTCACAGAGAAATGGCTTTTCTCCAGTATGTAATCTTTTATGATCTCTTAGCAAACCCTTGGATCTTAATATCCTCCCACATATATTACAAGGAAACTTTGCTGGCTCATGTCTCTGCATATGCTTTTTAAGAAGATTTCTCCTTTTGAATGTTTTTGGACATTTATCACAGGCAAATGATTCTGTTTCTGTGTGACTTAGCTTGTGTTCCCGAAGTGAAGAGGAGCAGACATAGGCCTTGTCACACAAATCACATTTGAAAGCTTTAATTGTCCCATGTGACAGTTTCAGGTGCCTATCATATGAAGATTTTTGCTTGTAGGACCTCCCACAAGCCAAACAATCATGAGTTATGGATTTCTTATTTCCCAGACCTGCATGTTCTGCATCCACTACCCTTTCACTTCCTTGTTTCTCTTGCTCCATCACGGTTGCTGCATTCTCTTTTGGCTTGTTTCCTGACTTGTGACATTGATTGCATAGTAACTCTTCTGGGAGTGGTACCTCTTCACGAGTTTCTTTCCCAACTTGTTTCCCACAAGAAACACAACGATACCACACATATGCACAATTGCTTTTCTGTTTGTGCTGCGCTAGAATTTCCAGATTTGAAAATATTCTCTCACATGCTTCACATTTTGGTATTTTGGTTCGAATGACTCGAAGAGTTTGCACAGAATTTCCATCACTCTCATAGGTTGGTAAATTAACCTCCTCCATTCCAGCTTTTGGTTTCTCACAAACAATACCATGAACACACCTCAGATGAACTAACCCGCCACTTTTACAAATGAAATTCATTCCACAATAGCCACACTTTATGGTTTCACGTTGGATTCCCTTGTGTTGTAAAACATGGGTCTGTAAACCAATTAAATCCCTAAAACCCTCGTCACAGATTCCACACTTGAAAAACTTGAAGTCCATCTCCATCATTTTTTTAATGTTACTTCGGTTTCTAGTCTGGTAATGTACTCCTCTCCTTTTATTCATTCTTTTCTTCAGTTTTCTTTTCTGTTTTTTCTGTGGGACTTGCTAAAAGAAGAAAATAATAACAATTTATTCCACTGTCTTGAAAAAAAAAATGGTACAAATACTGTAAATCAACTTTTATTCTAAATGACTGTAAAGCAATTAAGTGCCTAAAGAATGTAAACTGGTTCGCAATTACTTTATTTCATGATTTACTTGGGTAGAACTATTTTGTGACAATAAATTTTTGCAATCAAGCCTTTTTGGATCTGTTTCTAATGGACACAGAAACTTTAGAGACCTGTTTGCTGCAAGATGTATTTAGAGATGACAAGGCTCACACAAAAATTTGTCACATGCCAATTTTTTCTTTATTACTACAACAATGTAAATCAAGAGGCCCAGGGGCCACATTGATCATCTGAGCAACTGGCTAGGTAAAAGTTTAAATATATTATAAAAGTGGGTTGATAACCCTTCCCCGGAGGTTAATGAAAGGAAAAATGAGTTCAGTACTGAAAAGTTTAAATATATTATAAAAGTGGGTTGATACCCCCCACTGTGGCCCTACCCTTCCCCGGAGGTTCCTGATTTGAACATACTTGACGAGGCCTTATCTAGTTGAAAATTACGAAAACGGAATGATAAAAATTTTTAATTCTTTGAACATGTTGAAATATTCTTGTATGTTTTATGCTTAGAAAAATTAGATTGAAATTTTGTTACTTTGCCTTTATTGTAGTGAAATGGGGGCACTGTCAAGATATGGACCACTTTTCGTGTTTTTATACACACTTACATACTAAACAGCTAAAACTCTTCAATAAACAAAGAAATTTACAAATAAAAAAAAATGCATTATGAAATTCTTTGTTTTTTACATATATCATGCAATTTTCATTCTTCTTAATAAGAAAAATGAAAAGAAAATTGGCGATAGCCTTTATTGCAGTGAAAAGGGGGCATGTCAAAACACAAAAATAGGTCGCAATGGGTTAACATAACACCAACAAACGATTGCAATACTGTATTAGTTTCTAAAAAATAAATAATTCCTATATTATGAAATAATTTTCTCGCCATGCTTTGACATTGTTTTACGTGGAAAATAGAGGGGGGGGGGGGGGTAAAGGCGACAAAATAAATTGCAATTTTTACTAATAATATATAGAAAATAAAATGTTTCGGGGTTCAATTTAAATGATTTAAAGAATTATTTTATTATTTTAGAACTGAAGATAATCCATGCATATTTAAGTCCGCACTTTAACACTTAAACATGTTCAAAGAAAAAGACTAAAATTGTTACTTTATAGTTGCATCGTTTATTTTTTAAAATCACAAATTGCAACTAAACAGGATAAAGTTAATGAATCTGTAAGAAGAAATTGATCCCTCAAAATTAATTAGGTTCCAAAGTTGTTTACTAGTTTAAATATTTTTAAAAAATTAATAGAAATGCCAGCTTTCAGTACATAGTCTATAGAGCTACCAGGTAAGCAAGATCAGCGCAACAGTTTAGAGCAATTTGAAGTCATTTTAATTGTGACGTTATAATGCTCAATTGTGACGGCAGTCAAGGGTAATAGTGACGTGCCTGAGTCGACGCTGCTTTAAAACGTATGCGCAGATTAAGTAGATCGGGCCTCATTAATTTAGCTAAGGATGCTTCTACACAAGTTTCATATTTTCTGGCCCAATCAATCTTGAGAAGATTTTTAAAGATTTTTCCTATGTATTCCTATGTTAAACTTCTATACCCCATTGTGGCCCACCCTACCCCCAGGGGCCATGATTTAAACCAATTTGAATTTTGAAATTCGTTTCTAAAGGATGCTTCTATACAAGTTTCATCTTTCCTGGCCCAGTTGTTCTGGAGAAGAAGATTTTTAAAGATTTTTCCTATGTATTCCTACGTTAAACTTTGATACCCAATTGTGGCTAAACCTACCCTCGAGATCATGACTTCAACAAATTTAATCTTCCCTTTTAGACGGTGTTTCTGTATGAGATTCATCTTTCTTGACCAGTGAATCTTGAGATGATTTTTCCTATGTATTCCTATGTTAAACTTTGATACCCAAATGTGGCCCCACCCTACCCCCGGGTCATGATTTGAACAAACTTGAATTTCCCTACCAAAGCATGCTTCTACAAAAGTTTCATCTTTTATCTTGGTCCAGTGAATCTTAAGAAGATTCTTCCTTTGTATTCCTATGTTAAATTTTGATACCCCACTGTGGCACCACACTACCCCGGGGGTCATGATTTGTACAAACTTGAATTTACACTACCTGAGGATGATTCCACATTTTTCCTGGCCCAGTGGTTCTTGAGAAGAAGATTGTTTAACGATGCCAATAACTTTCACTAATTCATGATTATCTCCCCTTGGAAAAGGACGTGGCCCTTGGTTTGAACAAACTTGAATGCCATTCATCTAAGGATATACTTTATGGCAAGTTCGGTTGAAATTGGCCGAGTAGTTCTTGTCAGTGAGGAGAAGATGAAAATATGAAAAGTTTGCGACAACGATGATGACAACAACAATGACAGACAACAGACTTTTGATCAGAATGGCTCACATGAGCTCAAAATTCAACCATTTTGCAATCATTCTTACTAATATAAATCTACTCATTTTTTTATGCTTGTGAATCGTTGAACATGTTGAATGAAAAATAAAAATCTGTGTGGTTTAACTTATTCATAAGGTATTCAATATACAATGTATATAGATAATCAAGATAACAAAGGGATTTTGAATGATTTTAGATAATTTTAAACTAATAGTTAAAAAGGTGTAGTAAATAATGAGAAAAGTGAAATAAAACCAATTCACAAGACTGATAACATGTAAGGAGACAGTCATTTTGCATGTAAAAATTTTTGAAGAGTTATCTGCCCTTGACAAAAATAAGAAAAATTTTGATATCTCAAAATTTCTGCAGTAAATAATTTATTTTATTTCATATTTTAATAAGGAGGGAGTTTACGCATATTTTCAGCAAGAGATTTGTTTGAAATTCAAAATACTTTTTAAAATATCTGATAAAAACATGTGCTGCCCATAGACTTCAATGTAATATTTAAGTTGCAATTATTCAGACAATAATGAAAATTTTGTAAACTTCTTTGGTGGAGTGTTTTTATTTGGACTAAAATAAAAAATTGTTTGTTTGCAGTTGCCTACTGACCCACTGAAAATACACCCGACCCAAACTTTTTTTTAGCCATTTTGTAATATTATTTTTTCCCCCCAATTTTTCAGGATATAGAAACTGTTTCACTTTTTTCTAATATCAATCAGTAGTTTATACCAAGAGTGGAGCTTATTAAAAATATATATATTTTATGTTTATCTAACAAAAATTTGAAAAAAATTTTTCTTTCCAAAAAAAAGAATGCCTACCAACCTACCCAGTCTAAGATTATAGGTCGGCAACTGCAAACAAAGACTTTGTTAAGCTTGGCCTTTGAAACCATCTTCAAAATGCTACCTCAGGCTTGATTACATTGAATACCTTTACTCATGATCATATTAACTTTGTTATTTATATTTTCAGGAACTTTAATAAAAGTTTGCTTGTATCATTTCGTCTTTGAATTAACTTCGAGTCATCCGAGATATATTAAATTTACTGTAAACGTGTTACATTTGGCCGTGTATTCTTTTTAGCGTTTTTAGCGGAGAGCAATATCTGCTAATTCATGTGCAACACTGAATGTCTGGCACATATACCTATAAAAAGGAACAATAAGATATGTGCTAAATCAAATCCACGCTAACTTGTTCAAAATCCAATTTCCGCCAAATATTGTACACGCTAAATATAATACATTTACAGTAAGCATTCCAAATTTTGTGGTAAATACATATCATTATGAGACCCAAACAATTCAGTGCTTGCCTGAATAACTTTGGCCCAGATTAAAACAAGATACGTTTGTAAAACCTTTATGCCCCCTCCCCCCAAAATTGGGATTTTTTTTAAGTTCAAGGGGAGTAATTCTATCCAAATACGGAATTTTTTTAAGTCCAAGGAGTCGCCCGCATGGTGAAGTGGTGAGAGGGTCTGCTCTAAAGTTGCAAAGTAACGAGTTGATCTTTACGTCACGGGTTCGAAACCCACTGTAGGAAATGGAAACAGGTACATCAGATGAGACCATATAAACCGAAGTCCCATGTCACAGTAGGTGCTGTCAAAAAAGATCCTCCCTGCTCAATGACTCTGATTGCCGAGTATAGGATAAATTTTTCAGCTCTCCACCGGCAAGTGGTGGCGTCTCCATATGAGTGAAAAATTCTCTTGAGTGACGTTAAACACTATGCAATCAATCAATCAAAGTGCAAGGGGCATAATTCTGTTCAAAATTGTTCGATAATACCCAGAACAGAACTTGACCTAGTCTTGTTATAAATCAGTATATATACCAGTCTGGGAAACACTTGAGCTAGTCAAGTGTAAGTAACAGTTATCTCCTCCTAGCTACCATTGTAAAAATAAATCTTATTATGCTTAATTAAATCTGCATCTAGCTCACAGCAGGGTGACATTCACTGCAATTAAAACAGAAGTTTGAAACCAAAATTTTTTATAATAAAAGCATTTGTTTGGTTTAATTTTAGATTTTCACAACATTAACTACATTACAGTTTTCCTTTATATTACAATTTTTCATAATTAATATAGTTATATTTATATGAAAATTTATATATAAAATCTTATATTATGGAAAACTGTAATATTACAGTTTTTCAAAATGTACTGGACTGTTGGGGGCCATTACACTGTATTAAATTTCAGCATTTTATGACCATTTAAAGCACATAAAGTAGCGAATTACACGTGAACCATATTTCTTAGATACTGAAAAATTTTAAATTTTCAGTCTCTATGAAGGGAAAAAAAAACATTTGAGGTTTTCATTATTTTAAGGGGAATACTTTCTACTCATCAAAAGGGGAAAATTTGATTTTCTGGGGAAATTCTATCTAGGTGAAAAACACCAAATATCGGTAGTACCGTAAATATGCCCTTAGATTAATTAATCCCTGAAATGGAAAAATAAATGCAAAAATTTATAGCTGAAACTGTGTCCATGTCCCATTAACATTAATACTTGCCATGCTTACCGTGCTTACACTCTCCACTACAGGTTTTTCTTTAACTTTTTGTTTTTCTCTTACACGAGCTGAGGTACGACGTCCACTGACAACCACTGGGTCAGGACTTTCTTCTGTCTTCACTTGAACATTTTCCAATTCCAGTGGTGGATCACAGTTCTGGTCTGTTTGTAAATCCAAGTTGGGAACTGCTGAAGGGTGTTCTTCCATCTTTATTTCAACATTTTCCAGTTCCGATGGTGGATCAAAATTCTGGTCTGGTTGTAAATCTAGGTTAAGAATTGGACCAAGGCTTTCTTCCACTTTCACCTCAACATTTTCTGATTCTGAGGGTGGATGAAACCCCTGGATTTGTTGTAGTTCCATGTTATGAACTGGATGAAATCTGACAGTAAATTTCTGTTCTGTTACCTCTTCCAGTCCCCCTCCATTTGAAGCGTTGATGGACGATGTTTTGTTATGTTCAACCTGATTATTCGGAATACTGGAATTGTTCATGTAAATTTTGTTCATGTTGTACATAACATTTGGTTTGGAGACAGTAAACTCAGAATTTGGGTGAAAAGACATGGTAGGTGGTACAATATCAGCATTACGGTTGAGATTTAGATTGAACGATATGGTAATTTTGTTTCCATCATCTGTTCTGGAATTTTCATCAGTTTTTTCATTGTTTGATGATGAACATGAAGGAAGCACTGTATCCTTTGGAACCTGGGCCACTGGCAATTTATCAACAGGGTAAGTCACTGTAGGAAATTTAGGCTGTGCAAGGTTGTTACTGCTTACAACCACATTAGACGGACTAGATTGGTGATTTTCAAAGTTGTTCATGTTCATACTTTTAATGTTCAAACTAGAATTAGACAACACATATGTTCCAAGTTTGGTCAATGTGAAATTTGACTGGGCGGCCTGCTGGGTCCTGAGGTTGTTCATGTTCACACAAACCTGAGTGTTCTGCTTGGTTCGAGGAGTTTCCTTTTTCCCACTTGCTGTAGCCGTTAGAAGTGGAATCTTACGGTTTTCCATGGTTTCTAGAGAATCAGATTGTTTTGCCACAGGTATTCCTGGAATCCTAAGTTGGCCATTATTCCCAGTACGAATAATGGACTCTGAATTATTGAGCCTCATACAGTGTCCACTTGATTGTAACTGACTTTGGTTTGAGTTTGAACTCTGGTTTTTAGGAGTTGTACAAGCAGTTCCATCAGAAATCAAAGTTTTGGAAGCAGTAAAAATTGGGTTTTGCTGGATTATTGGAACATGTTTTTGGTGGACATCATTCAAGATTCTGCTGACAATTGCAGCAGGCAGTTTGTTCTCAATGGTGGGTGACAAATCTGTAGATTCAACTAGTGTGTCCTTGTCTATTTCACCACTACTGTCCATTTTTTAAAAAATTATTTAATTCGACCAAATAAGAATAATTATGGCCTTTAAGGATATGGTTTCACTATTGAACAATGAAAGACAGTTGTAAAGTTGTAATCCAACAATTCTACATGTTCGAAACTGTGTACCATTGCCAATAATGCATTAAGGTGAACATGCATTTGGTTTCATGAATTGGACAGAATAAGGTTGGTGCAGAATTGGTCTCTATATCATGTTTGGGTGAGCTCCAAATCTAAGAATAGAAAAAATGTTTTGGTAAATTCCTAAATATACATGATTGTTAGATTAGTTATATAATCAGAGAAGTTTAAATTCAAATGTGGTAAATGAAGAACATCTTCTGAAGGAATTCAATGTTCTTAAAAAGTCATTATGAATAGCATTATCAGTTTATAGTGATGACAAATTTTCTACACATTCCTAGAACTTTTACATGTACAACGTACATCTTGGCATCTACAAGAGCACACTGTACAAGTGTAAACTTGTAGCATACATTTATTCATTTTGATTTAGTAGCTAAATAAATCTACTTCATCACTGTTCATGTAAGTAAATAAATCCATTTTATGCCCTGTTCACAAGGAGAATTTAAGGGGATTGACCTACGTCCGAAAAGTCTTTGTGGGAAATTTTCAAAACTTCGATATTATCTTTCCTGACCACTTGCTCTTGATTTTTAGGTATAAAAAATGATACCTTTATACAGGAGCACATGCAAAAAAAGTGTGAAATGATAAAAATAGATTGTTTTCAGAAATTACTCTCTACTCCAAATATGCAAGTTATAAAAAAAACCAAAAATGTCAAATCACATTTGAAATCAACAGTTATTTAAAATTATATGACTTGTATCTTTAAAAATGAAATCAAATTCATTGCAATTCATCTGTAGCACGAAAAATTATAAAGGCCGGAGCACAAAGTAAGTATCACCCCATTTTTATACCCCCCGCTTGAAAAGCGGAAGGGTATATAATAATCGTTAATTCCGTCTGTCCATCCGTCCGTCGCTTACGCTTTGGGGTAACTCCTCTCATACCACTGAATGAAATTTGACGAAACCTTCACAGAATCTTTATTACATATTGCCATTGTGCATCTCCTATTTTACTTTTTGATCCGACACATATTTTGGGTTTCCCGGCCACAGGAAAACATGGACTTTTTCACCAGTAATAACCATATGGGGGGCGGGGGTATCATTTAGTGAGCTCATCGCTCACAGTACCTCTAGTTCTTGTCATATTCTTTACAATTCCAACATGCAAATATGCAATATCTTAAAAAGTCTTTGTGTGAAAATGATGTATATCATATTTTTTAAAAGAAATGATTCATCTCTTTATTTTAATGAAGATAAAAATATACCTTTATGATGAAATAAATGAGAAAATATTACATTTTCTTCTATTTTTGTATTCTTGTGTCATAAATATTGACCTTTCTGCACTTAAAGGTTAAGTTAGCACTGACAAACAACTGAATATAAAACTCTTTTGTGAAAAACGAGTAATTTGTTTAGATTAAAAACGATTTAAACAGATTCTTTTCTTCTTCATTCTAATCATTCTGTCCCCCCTCCCTTTCCCCGTCAACACCTAGTTAGAATGATCAAACTGTGTCTCGGTACAAGCCCTCACCACAGTTAGACTACGTCCCATACGCTTGCAATGTAGCGATTTTGAAGAATATAAATGGAATTGCACTGGAAATAACTACCAAATTAATCAAAACAAACCTTTATGAGATTGCTTATGCCTTTTATCTCAGAAAATAATCCATCGAAAGATGAAAATCCAATTAATTTTTCTCAAAGTTTTTCTCTCACTTCAAATTTACCTGCCATGTTTACGTTTGGATGTCTCTAAGATTGTTTGTAGTAAATGCACCGAGTTATAGTAAAAATGAGTTATCACCCATGTTTCTTTTGCAATATTACGAATACATGGAACGAATTCTATCGTTAAAACGGGTCCGTAGGAAAATATCATTTTAACGATTGAACATTCTATCTAGTCAACAACCAACACATATTAGAACCTAGGAATGACTTTATACAATGAAATCTACATGTACTATAAATCAATAAGCAAATAAAGTATATACATTTCTTAATTTTTTCTTAGTTTTATCCAGAAAAAACAATTAATAATGATAAACATTAAATTAAACATATTTGAAATTCCCTGATTTAAGTCGCATTAGTTTACTTTGTGTTAATTTCCTGCGAATCGAACTTGTTGTGTGAACAGGGCATAAGTAATTCAAGCTAATGCTATATAGCGATTGAAGCTTATCATTATTGCACCAGACCTGTATTTAGACGATTGTGGTCACATGTTTAACCAAAGACATGATTGACCCTGATGACAAAAAAAAAAATATATTGAGATTAATCTGTTAATTAGATAGTTTACCCTCTGTTACTACATACCAAATTAAAAATAATTAAGGAAAGATGTACTGTACTGATGTTGGCGCTGAATTAACTAAGCTATTGTTAACTAATTAGTATAATCAGTGAATCAACAGACAAATTAGTCCATTCGACGATTCGTCTCATTGTATTATTAGAATATCGAACCCGATGATAAAATTTATTTATTTATTTTTTTAAATACTTAAAGCTATTATCTAAAACGTTGCTAGGCCATAGATTTCACCAGTTTTAAATCACTAAATTAAATAATTCGCGTCGGCTAAAATAAAAAGATTTCTAGAAATAAAAATAAAGCAATTTTTTTGAAAATATCTGAAGGATCCAGATGGGGGGGGGGGGTGAAAACGTTACGGGGGTTAAAACTACATTTGGATTTGCAAGAGAGAGAGAGAAAGAGGAGAAAGAGAGAGAAAAGTTCCAGGTTCCACAATTACCCCTATACATAGGCGTCGGAATCCGGGGTAGGGGGGAGGGAGGGGTGGGGGCGGGGCCCGCTTTTTATTGCCAAGATCGATTGACGTTTTCTAGGTATCTAAATTGGGGTTTACCTTTTTTTCGTTGTTTTAACCCATGCCCCCCCCCCCCCCCCACACACACACACACACACAGGCACCTGAAGTATGGATAATATACCTTCCCCCCTTTTTTATGACAAAAAATTTAAGATGGTAAAATATCTCAAAAATATATAATTTCCCTGTAAAAAACATCTATATGTCGTTAGATGCAAACATATGGTACTTTTTCTCACTCACAAGTGTATTTTTATTATACCGAATAGGGCCATTCTTTAAATGCATAAAAAAAGAATGCGGAAAGCAGCTAGTAGAATTCCAAGCATGTTTCCATACTATTTTTGTGTCACTCACTCGTAACGAATATTTCATGTAACTGATTCACACTGCTCAACGCGTTATCGGCAACTCGGTTGTTATCGGACACTCTGTTGATCACAATTTCGTGCAAGGTAGTAAATTGTTTCGAATTAACTCTGCTAAAATAGACAAAGAGAATGTTCATTGTTATTTTTGTAAACAGAAATAAATATGGATTCAAAATAACCCCTCTCTACGTATTAGAAAAGCATTTGTTAGCCTTGGGAAGTCTTTAAAAGTCAAAATTGATTATATATTTTTCAAGTTTTTCTCCAACTGGCGTTGCTGTAAATAGCTTTTTTCCTTCAAAAAATCCTTATATTTATCTAGCTTTAATGATTGTCCACAAGAAGACATCGTCAGAATCTTGCAAATATGTTATTAAAGGTCAAAAAATGCCCAATTTAAACTTTCAGTATGTTATCGGAAATACGGTTGAAGAATTCAGTTTGTTATTGGAAACTTCGGTTTTGGTTATCGGAAACTTTGGTTTTGGTTATCGCAAACAAAGGTTGAGATAGATTAGGAAAAATAGAAAGGAACGACAGAAATCCGCATGAAATCTAAAATTATACAGTGGCTGACACACAATCTAATTATTGGTTGTAATTATTTACCTCTTTTATGAATATGTAACTTTAAAAAATGCGTGTTTTTTTTTGACATTTCTTACTTCAATCTGCATGATCTTGACCTGTTGTTAAATATGGTACCAGTATTAGTTTTAAATTTCATTTTCAGTTACCGAGGTCGCCCTTGGTTAGAGTGTCTGCTATAGAGTCGCCGAGTAAGGAATCGATCCTTATACGTTGCTGTTGCGTATCCCAAAGTGGGACGCTGCAATAGGTGCTAGCACAAAAAATTTCCTCACTGCTCAATGGCCCTAAGTGCCGAGTATACGACAAGTTTTGTAGTTCTCCGCCGGCAAGTGTTGGCGTCTCCATATGACTGGAAAATTCTCAATATGGCGTTAAACAACATATAAAGTCAATCAAGGTGATGAGCGCATAGCGAAAGAACAGTCATTTTATCGACTTAGCACAGGCAACACCGAGATTCAAACTCACAACTTTTCCAACATGAATAATTTTATAAGTTTACTAGAATTCAAACTCAATAAAATTAAGGGTGGTTAATGTATTTCCAAATAGGGCGTTAGGCGAAACTCTATGACATAGAATTAAAACTTTTGAGGAGAAAAGAGATTATCATAAAAAATTACGAAATCGTAAACACGGATTTCTAAAGACATTGGAGGTTGTTTAACATATACCAAGAAGGGATAAAAACCCGTGATAAACGGTTACATCCAGCAGTGTGCTCTTTGTCATTATTGGACAGATACAATGTGTAAATAGAGCTCATGCTCAGATAGATCGAGGGGGATTCACATGGATATTGCATTGCTACTGGATGTTTTACTGAAGCAAAAATTCTCTGCCCCCCCCCCCCCCCCCCCCCTGGCCCAAGTGTAATTAAAACGCCAATCACTGACTGTAGAAAAGGAATCAACCAACACCCGTTCTCCTAAATAGGTAATTTTCAGGGTTGGGAAATCAGTTATGTTTCTTTTTATATTAAAGTGTTTTCTCTATTGTGCTTTTTGCACAATAAAATCCCAGTTGACTCTCTATTAATCTTTATTTATTTATTTTTCAATATCTTTTTTCTGGACCATGCTTTTTGTTAAAGGTTAGACTCCTTAATCTACTTCATATCAAAATTACATTGTATAAAAATATTATAATTAAGAGTTAATATCTTTCTTTATTGTTGACAGTTACTATAGTATCTGATTGATACAAGCTAGATCACATGATTAACACAAGCTAAATCACATGATCAAGTATTTTAAAAGTCCTGTAAAGTTACTATGTCGTTCTATTTAAGGTCTCTAAAAATTATGTTAATGTTCTTTTGCGAAGCAACAAAAGTGCTGACTTCGAAATCACTTGTTTTGTATACGGGGCACCCCCACTTAAGCCCTAATTGCTAAATTTGTTACTGTGACGTGATTCCGGGGATCATGGGGCGACTTGATTTTTTAAAATAATAGTAATAAAAAAATATTCAGTTTACCATAATACAAAATTAATTGTTATGATAAATTAAAGATATATATTTACGTCTAAAACCTCCTGAGGCTTAAGGAGGTTAACTTAATTGAATGGAAAACATGAAAACAAAATGATTAAGCAGTTAGAATAGTTCTATCATTTATATCATAAATCTTATTTATAAACGTTCATATCAAAACAAACTTACGAACCTTATAAGGACAACCCTTGAAAATAAATTTCAAAATTACTTCTATGACAGAATACTTGCTTTTTTCAAGAGTTGACTGTGACAGATTATAATGGACTTTTTCCAAACTATTTATGAAGCTAAAGGAAACATTTTAACTTGCGTTTCCAATAACATACACCCTTCAAAAACCGAATTATCCGGCTATGTACATCAACCTTGTTGCCGATAACATGTTTTCAACTAACGAGACATTTTAAATGACAGTTTTCTAAACCTGATCTAAAGATATCTGATTGTCCATAGAATAAATATACCAGTTTGATATAATAAATCAAATTTGAATTCTACAAAAGTTAAAATGTGAAGACATTTAATCCGAGTATTTTTTATTATTATTAGTATATATATAGCATATAAAATATTATTTGATAGAGCTGAAGATCATTTGATTCGGTCTGTGCTTTCTGCTGTTGAAAGTATATTCAATTATTTGTCATAGATCACAAACTTAGTTTGCTGAAATTCAAATTGTTATTTTTTAAGAACTGAAAGCCTCGACCGCAGAATTTCGTCTTTTTAGGTCACCTGAGTAACTCAGGTGACCTATTGCTATCCGTTTTCGTCCGTCGTCGTCCGTCGTCCGTCGTGTGTCGTGTGTTAACATTTGAACATTTTCAGCTTCTTCTCTGCAACCACTGAACCAATTTCAACCAAATTTGGCACAAAGCATCTATGGGTAAAGGGAAACAAAAATTGTGAATTTCATGATCCCTGCCCCCCTTGGGCCTGAGGGGTGGGGCCAAAACCACTAAAATTAATGCAATCTTTAAAAATCTTCTTCTTTACTCCTGGACATCAAGCAGTCAAACTATTTGCATGATTGTAATCAGCATTGAGTCCTCTACCAAAATTGTGAAATTCATGGCCCTGGGGTCAGGGGTTCTAGTGCTAGGGCGGGGCTAAATAAGTATATGGTGAAAATGCATTATTTCTTTGAAAATCTTCTTCTCTGCTCCTGGGTATTAAATAAACCAAGCAAGTACATAGTTATGATGAGCAAGAGTGCCTCTACCAAATTTGTGAATTTTATGGCCCCAGGGTCAGGGGTTCTGGTGTTAGGGTGGGGCTCTATTGATTATATAGTAAAAATACATGATTTCTTTGAAAATCTTCTTCTCTACCCCTGGGTATTAAATAAACCAAGTAAGTAAATAGTTATGATGAGCAAGAGTGCTTCTACCAAAATTGTGAATTTTATGGCCCCAGGGCCAAGGGCTCTGGTGTTGGGGGGGGGGGGCTCTATTGATTATATAGTGAAATTACATGAATTCTTTGAAAATCTTCTTCTCTGCTCAAAGGTATTAAATAAACTAACTAAGTGCATTGTTATGATGAGCAAGAGTGTCTCTACAAAAAATTGTGAATTTTATGGCCCCAGGGTCAAGGGTTCTGGTGTTGGGGGGGGGCTCTATTGATTATATAGTGAAATTTCATGAATTCTTTGAAAATCTTCTTCTCTGCTCCTAGGTAATAAATAAACTAACTAAGTGCATAGTTATGATGAGCAAGAGTGCCTCTACAAAAATTGTGAATTTTATGGCCCCAGGGTCAGGGGTTCTGGTGTTAGGGTGGGGCTCTATTGATTATATAGTGAAAATACATTAAATCCTTGAAAATTTTCTTCTCTGTCTCTGGGTATGATGCAGATGAACTTCCTATATAGTTATGATGAGCAAGGGTCCTAATCTTGCAGAATTGTGAATTTCAAGGCCCCATGGTCAGGGGTGGGGGGGGGGGGGCTCTACTTATATACTTGAAATGAATTAATTGTTTGAAATCTGGTCCTTTGTATTTATAAAACATTGATTTACTTTTTGATAGGCAATTTAAAGGGTGCCTTTTAAAAATTTGTGCAAGCTAGGGTCAGGGGTTTATGTCAGAGTGTTAGGGGCACAACTGATTATTGATGAATATTACTGATTAGTTGGAGTGCATTTTTG